GCGCTCCATGTGTCAGTATATAATGCCAGCATCTGTAACTTTCACTCTATGCATCTGAAGAAGTGAGGTTTTAACCCACGAAAGCTTATGCCCAAATAAATCTGTTAGTCTTTAAGGTGCCACCAGACTCCTTGTTGTTTCTCTTCTTGATCTCTCCTTTGTACTCCACTACACTCATCTCTATTGTGCAGGAAACAAACACTATATGTACCTGCAAATACAATTATCAGCTGACCTCTCCACTTAAATTATGGCCTTGTCGGTTTGTGAAAACACTTACCGGTACTTTGTATTCTCAGGTTTTTTGGGAGACAATCACTGTAGACAGATGGAGACTTCAGTAGATAGAACAAAGTATCATGGCAGCCTAGGGAACAAATAAACAAGAAAGCCCCACTTAGTGCTTGATCCTAGCATTGAGCACCCTGAAAGGTACTGAGCATTCTGAACTCCTATTTAAATCATATGGGAGTTGAGGGTGCTGAGCACCACAAAGAAAGCATTCATCATCTTGCAGCATCAGACCCTGAGCATAAAAGTCACTGGGGAACTGGAAACTAAGATCTTCTCAGATGACTCTTGTTTTTTAACCTGTGTGCAGGGCACCAAAATAGTACAGTGTCAGGCACTAAAAATGCATAAAATCATTAGGTGAGGTTAAATTACATACAGTTATCCCAGTTGCTCACATTTTAATAAAAATTGGATTTATTTACAAGATACAATGCAAATACAGGTTTAGATCACACAGGTTAAAAAAACCCAAGAAAACAGTTTACCCAGGTAAACATGGGAGCAGAGGTTTTCTGAAATGGGTTTCTAAAGGGGTGATCTGGATTTTCAAGTGTGTTGAGCATTCACAACTCTCATAGACTAACTTCAGGCATCCACATTTTGAAAGTCTTGGCCAGTATACTTAAGTCATCCCCCCTCTCTACAGTCAGACTCAGTCTTTCTCGAGCCTTTCTTAAAAGAGCCCATGTATCTCACCATACACAATTTCTGTTCACTGTCTGTTTCTCTCATTTTACAGTTTCACATAGAGATCAGCCCCTCAGCTTCAGCTTGCTGACTGACATCATAAACTCAGATTTTCCAGTAATAGCTAAATTATCTTTTGATGTTTGAGATACCGAATTGACTTCAACAATAAGCTCCCAGAGGCTAATACCTCAGTCAGACATCCTGGCCTCTACACTCAGGAACACAAGCAATCAGGTAACCAGTTTTACTAGCATATTGCTCCTTTGATCAACTCTACTGTTTGCGTAGTCAGTTACAGGAGTTCTTGCAAACCTTTATATGGACCTACACTAGGACATCTGACACCATTACTCACAGCCTATCTGCCCTGGTAGTTCAGGCTAGCAGCTTTCCCAAATATGATCAGCTTGTTACTCAATTGAATACCTGGCCTCACATAACAAAAAATCTATATGTACCATAGTTATTCTGCCTTGTACATGACTGCCTTTATAATAAAAAATACATTAAAATAAAAAAAGAAAGAATAATTATTAATTGTGGTCTCCTGATTGCTGTGAAAAACTCTATCATCTTTCAAGCTGCACAGATTCATCTGAATCTGGCAGGTACAAATCTTATGCTTCTGAAACATTATGGATTGTCAGATTTTCCTCCACAGATAATATTCTTTTCAGTGTAATGTATGGATCTTTTTCCTTTATATGGGCTCATATCCCTTGAGAATTTTTAGGAGACCAATGTCATTTCAAGCTTTCTGTATTTTTTCCAGATTAGTATCTTCTTATCTCATGGAAATGAAACCTACTTCATGATCAACTTCTGGATAAAAATGCCTTATACCATTCCACTGTGACATGAATAAGGAGTAGCATGTGTCAGATAGCAGGGTCTGCAGCAGAGGTCATCTCTGGGCAACCTAACAAGTGCAACTGGCTTCAGTAGGCTGCTTGATTGGTTATGCCATCTAATTGGTTAGAAGAGTCAGCAGACCAGCTCTTAAACCCAAAAGCAGGTCAGTGGCTGTCTAGATCATTTGTTCATGGTTGTGACAAGGGTTTTTTGTTCTCAGTTCTGCTCCTGACTTGTTTTGTGCCAGGTAACCAGGTCCTGACCCTTACCCTTACCCTTGACTATGGCTTGGCATCTTATTCTAATCCAGGGCTCTGATTCCTGACTATTGATATTGCTGTAACCATGGTGCTGATTGCCCATGTCCAGGTTACAGACAGCATTGATGTGCTACAAAGGGATTCCTGTCTAGTCATCCTGATCTGGGAAGATAGATACTCAAGGCTGGGGCATCTCGGGTAGCTGGATGAAATGGGAGATCATTTAGAGACTATTCAGTGACTCATTACATAGCAGTTTTTGTTTGTAAACTCTTTGGGGTAGAGAGCAGGTATGGCTGGTTTGGGCTTTTTATAGCGTTTAGGATAGTGGGTCTCTGGTTTTGATTGAAACCTCTGGGTGTAAGTAAGTAAATCAATAATAATAATAGTCCCTGTCCATGATGAATACATAGTAATATTCTGCTGGGCCCTGATTTTTAGTCACAAAAGAAATGAACACCCAGATTATTTCAAAAGGAACAGGAGTACCTGTGGCACCTTAGAGACTAACAAATTTATTAGAGTATAAGCTTTCGTTGGCTACAACCCACTTCTTCGGATGCAGTGGGTTGTAGCCCACGAAAGCTTATGCTCT